TAAAGAATACCACCAACTTTCCGTGTTTGTCTGTTCAACAAAGCTGAACACAGTTCAGATCTTAACCGGAATAATACATAATCAGGAATCCAAAAGAAGTTGACAAGAGACTGACAAAGGTAACCTAAACTATTATAAGATTTCACAAGCGCGTCTGAATCAACAAAAACCTAATGAAAGATACTAAATTAATGACCTGTAATGCAGTTATTCTTTCAACTCACCTCTGTGGGGCCAAATCTTGAGTCATATACTAGTGCCACTTGCTTCTCTACAAGTGTTTGTAGCAGAACTATGCGTAAAATACGCTGGAATTATTTAATTACAAACTTGGAATTTTTTCGTTCATCTTTCATTTTTTGCAAAAGTAATCTGCTGTAGTCTTACTGTTCACAAACGATATCTAAAGTTATCGTGATTTTTGCCATCATTTGTTCTAATAGAAGGTATTTAAACCCAAATCATACAAGTTATCTGGAAAAAAAGAGCAGAACATAACTTAGATGACACCCATTTATTTATCGAAGACGTCAAAATAATGCAACAGTGCAGCGTTATTATAATTAACATACCGCTCAACGATTGTTCCCAGTTCATTATGTAGTTTTCTTACCTTTGGCACGGCGGAGTAACGCATAGCAACTTGGATTGAGGAATTCGAATTCCAGTCGAATCCATTACATTCACTTACATGCTAATACCCTTGGGAAAGTTATGAATCCACTTCTTCTATATCCAGCTATGGGTAAATAGCAGGACAGACCCGGTTCAATAGCATTAGATTGCAACTGGTCTACTGCAGAAAGAAATGGCAACCTACTGCGGGAAAAATCTGCCTCGTCAGTCATGTATCGAAAGATACATGATCGTCTAAGTGTGTATCACGCATGGCACATAACTGACTGACTTACATAACCTGGCCAAGAGAGACAGAGAGAGAGAGGGGAGGGGGAGAGGTATATGGATGTGGTATATCGTTTTTCTGCGTGAAAATAGATTCGGCAAATGTTGATATTCTGACAGATTTTATGTTCATTTCGCCGTAATGCCTTTGGAAAAAGGTATGAATTCATTTCTTCTTCACATAGTGGTTAAAATAATGGAGTAGATGTCGACGGGTCTCTCTGGCGTTGGTTCGGCAACTGGGAAAAGGACAACTCATAAATGAAAACCACAGAGAAGGTAACAGGAAACAATTCAAGGATACTGCATTTACAGATGTTAAATAAAAGCAGCATGTGAAGAGCTATGGCCACCTATATCCTGGAGGAATATGGTTTAAAAGAAAATATTTGTCGCCAAATTCTCTTTCATCCTGTATATTTTTGTCTTATAATGAATATATGCAAAAACATAGCACGCACAAATAGATTATCCTTTTTAATATACAAGTATGTGTTAATTTCTAGAACAGTTCACAGTGGAAGTTGTTTTTATAGCGTGTTTGTACATCACACGCACACAAACGTGTTTACGCATATAAGGATTTACTAAGCGTAGCTTAGATATGCAAGGCTGAAAGTATGGCACACTTGGTGAGGATTGATCTCACAACTCGTAACTGCTGTAGTGAAACAAACTTACAGCAACCGCCGTCTGTCGAACTCTCTGCATTAGCAGAGAGGAACCCGGACGAAGCTTTGCCGAAGGGCAAGGTTTCGTTCGGGGAGGTTATGACAGCTCTCGGACGCGCCTAGGCGAGTCGAAGGCTATCTTTTTGGCCGGGCCTACGGGCTCGAGTGACCACGTAAAACTCGGCCTTGTGCCACATGCGACTCCTCATGGAGTGACAGCTAAATATAGCTGTAGTGAAACAAGCGTGCTAACCATTACACAACCTTGAGGTAACCTGGGTTCACACATGAAGAAATTTTTCAACTCGACCTAAAAACCATTTTCTTCCACCATCCAAAAAGAATTTGATGTTTGGTTATTTGGTCAGATTTTTGTTAAAAAGATCGGGTTAAGAAATTTTAAGCGCCTCCTCATTCGCACACATACCAATACACACACATAAAGTATATTCAGGATATTTGAAAAGAACAATCATATTATCCTTTTTAGGTGTACCCCTTATGGGCCAGTGTGCAATCAACCCCAGAACATTACTTTGAAAGAAATGACGTAATGTTTTTTTGTTGTTGTTATTATTATTATTATTATTATTATTATTATTACATTAGAAATACCCGCGAAATTTACCGGTTTTCCTAATTTAATTTTCTGATAAATCATAATTTTTCAGTTAATGATTGAACAAGTTCATGGCGACAATCAAATGTCCGTAGAAATTCCCCTATCTCATCGTTAAATATTTGAGCTAAACAACTTTAACAAAATATTGTAATAACAATGATAAATATGAATGCTGGTCGTTATTTTAAAAAAGTTAGGGTTTACAACTGAGAAGATTGAAATTGACAACTTTTCCCGTTTCAGACATTAATCATTTCTATCTTTTTTCTTTCATTTTTTCACTGAAAGTAAGTAGCGTCTCTGATATGTCTCTCTCGTCTTTCCACGCTATCAAAATGGAAGTCAGTTGTATTCTAGACTAGCAGTAGAGCCCGGCGTTGCCCGGGGATGTAACAGTAAGAGATAGATCAAGTATCGACCATCATAAAGATTGAAAGATAGAATTGACAAAGATTATTGTTTAAGGTTGATGGACACGCATATCTTAATTATTTTTTTTTTTTTTTTTTTTTTTACGAATTGGTCAAACACAAAGTCAAACAAAAACATTGTTTTCAATCGTTATGAGTCTACCGATTGAATAGAATTTTATTATAAACAATTGTCTTGTAAATAGAATTTTTAAAGCATTCTGAATGTAAAAATAAAGAAAAAAGTGTGCATGACAATAAGAAACACTACCTGCCAAAAAAAAAAAAAGAAGTGAAGTTTTGTTGAAATCGGTTGAAAAATGTAGGAAATCCGATCCCATATATAAACGAACACACACACAAACAACCTGGGTTTTATAATAAGTATAACTCGATATGAGTTTTCCCCCCTTACATTCTCGCGACAGCGATGCCTCATAGTCGTGTTTTCAAATTGATTTCGTGCAAAAACAATTGTGTTTTTCCAATTTTTGGTGCTGTCAGAACCACCGCAAGGTAATTTTACGTAGTCCTGTGTAGTTTTGTTGAAATCGGTTGAAAAATGTAGGAAATCCGATCCAATATAAATAAACACACACACACACACACACACACACACACACACACAACCTGGGTTTTATAATAAGTATGATATTGACAGGACGCATTAAAAACTTCTCTCTCTCTCTCTCTCTCTCTCTCTCTATCTATCTATCACTCATTTTCTCATAGAAATTAAGTAGAGTCTCTGGTATGTTTATCCAGTCTTTCCACGTGATCAAAACGGAATAAGCTATTATTTTATCAGTATTGGCAGGAGACGTTAAACACTTTTATCTTTCTTTCGTTTTCTTTCAGTAAGAAAGCGACTCTGGTATGTTTTTTTTTTCTGTCTTCCTCCGCGATCAAAGAGGAATAGTCCATTATTTATCAGGTATTCGCAGGGCGTAATGGTCGTGCGGGGGAACAAGCAGAATTATAATAAGATAATCAGATTACATAAAATTTTGGTTAGCACCTATAATATTTATAGTTGGGTAGAAAAACGCGCAATTATGTGACACCTTGTTCTAAAAGAGCAAAGCTATTCCTTTGCTGTTTGACGGCCAAGAATAAACAAATGAATAACGTTAGAGCAATGTACAGAATCGTCTTACATTCAATGTTAACACGTCACAGAATATAACTGTGTTACGTAACAGAAATAAACAATGGAGCAATATCGCATAGACAAAAATCAGTAGATTGATGATATGAATGAGGAGGTAAATTATATAAAGAGTATTTTGAGTAACCGTGAATTTCAAGGTTACATATATATCTTACAATCATACCTCCTATAAAACAGGAAAAATACTAATTTGATGGTACAGCCTTCTGTAAAAGTATTATACTATCAATTATAAACGTAATATTTTAACTTTGTTCACATTTTATTAAACCATTTTTAACGTAGACTCGTTTAATGCGAAAATTAACATGAATATTGAATTTGGAAGACATAATCTAATACTTTTTCTACTCGCTATTAATAAAAGGGAAAATTGTAAGGAGATTAATTTTTGTACAAAAATCTCCACAGTAAAAAAAATCTCGATATCCACAAAAAAGTGCTCTACTTCTGTGTGTTATCTCTTCAGGACGTTGGTGATCATAACTCTTGTTCCTGATCCCTGTGTTCCGCGAACCCGTTAGATAAGTTATTAGTTGTTTAGACTCTGTCCCACTTTTTTTTCTCTTTTTTTTTAAATCACTTTACTCCAATACTGCCACAAAGACCCAAGGAGTTACAGTGTGTGAAATAATACTAAAAAGCAAAGGCAAAGCAATATTAAAATGCGAGAACAATAAAAGAACTGGAATTAAGACGACAGAAGATAACGACTGGCACTGCATATAAATTTTAAAAGATCAAACTTGAGTGGAAGTGTTTAAGGAGAAACTGTTAGCATAGAACATACGGTTATATTTAACCATTTCATTTGTAAAATAATAAGACCTAACTGCCAATTTAAATTTGTAATTATTATCTTCAGTATGTCTTGTGAGTGTCACATTTTTCAAACTCTCTTTCCTCTTTATGTATTCGATAAATCTCAGCTGTATCTTTGTGATTTTAAGTACAAGCGTTCTACAGTCAACAAATCTTAATGATGAATGGCGTGTGTGATATAAATGGAAGAAAAATTGGTAATAAATGAAGATTATAAGGGCCCTTGAGTCAAGGGTCAATCATCATCTTGACTTTTCAAAGATTGAAGTCTTCAGATAAGTACCCATGCTGGTCATAAGTCTTCTTTAGGATAACCTTTCACTGCGAAACGAATAGTGCTTTACCTGGAGATAAATATTTGGCCACTGAGGGAGCTGCAGAGTGTTGTGATTTTTCTTCAGATCTATACCATGCAAACACTTATCCCTGGGGTGCCTACGTGCAGGATTCGAACCATGGTTCCTGTTGGCATTTTTCATCTACTAATTTATAATTGCTAGTTTTTAAGTGAAACTTTCTTCATACATTTAGAAAGATATCCAACCCAATCCATATCCCAGCTGTAAATGTTTGAACTGATAAGAGTAGATTAGAATTTTTCTCGGTTCACAATCCTCTCTAGTCTTTTGAACAGGAGTAGAGGTTTGTCCCTTGTTCCTCTTTAGGATCGGCGCGTGGGTTGTTTTTATTTTTTATTTTCTCGACTGTACAGTATAGTATGGTCAGTTGGGCACCATCTTTGAAAAAATATCACCATGACGTAATACACTCTGCCAAAAGATAGGAAGGGTCATGCTGTACTGCTCGGCATTCGCGTCGGTAGCTCCAATACAAACATTTCAGTGTAACCAGGTGTGAATCTAAGGACAGTGCAGAGGATTCGGAAGGAGTTGATGTTTAGAATGATCAATAGTAATGTCAACGTTCATCATCCCAAGGTCCCCAGACTCAACACGGAGGCCTATATCAAGTGCTTTGAGAAGGTAGTAATGTCCTGGGTCAAGAGGATGCCTGCTAAGAATACAGTCATGGTAGACAATTTCTGCGGCCACATCACTTTTTACATCTGGCCACCTAAACCTGTGGACTGCAACACCCTTGATTATTATGACATTACGTCGGGTGTATTTGAGCGAGAGGCCATCAAAATTCCTTGTAACACGGAATGTCAACTGAAGGCAAGGATTATGGCAGCATTCAACAAATGAAATACACACACACACATATATATATGTATGAATTAAATACATACACACACGCATATATATATATATATATATACGCACATATTCATCTACATATATACATATATATGCACTTTCCAAAGGTGCCGCACGCTGGGATGGATCCAGTCCGATAACATCAGTAAGTCTTCTTCCTGACAAATCGACCATGGTGAGATTCGAACCCGAGGCTCATGGTCAGAAAGCGAATGTTCTAACCACTCGGCCTATATATATATATATATATATATATATATATATATATATATATATATATATATATATATATATATATATATATATATATATATATATATATATATATATATATATATATATATATATATATATTCGAATTCGACGTATGAGGGTCAAGCAGATCAGTTTTCAGGAAACCGACACCGGCACATGAGATTTGATTATAGTGGTGAAGGTTTCGTGCAGGACCAGCCACACTTTTTTTTAAGGGCCGAATTCAGAGACCTGGTGCACTAAGTCCCCAAAAGACCCTTCGCAGTTTCAAGGCTATAGAACCTAGTCTGTTCTGCTATTTACCCATAGCTGGAGGGAGAAGAAGAGGATTCACACCTTTCCTTAGGGTATTAGCACGTAAGTAAATGTAATGGATTCGACTGGAATTCGAATTCAGCTCTGCGATCCCTCAATCCAAGCCGCTATCCATTACTCCACCGTGCCCCCCCTCTCTCTCTCTCTCTCTATCTCTATATATATATATATATATATATATATATATATATATATATATATAATGGCTGCAAACTCGTGTTCGAGCATTGCCATTGCTTGAATACCCATAAGGGACCTCATCGATGAGCTGTTCGCATGTGGCTTTTAAGTCCTGCTAAAAACATACATTCTTTGGCACAAGATAGCAAACAAGGACATTTCTGACAACTGTTCCTGCATCGCCGTTTTAGTGTATTTTGACATGTATTTTTAATCATGTTGCACATTTTTCCATGTGCATTACATTACACGTTGTATTATTATTATATTATCCGCTCTCAGGTGGTATTGATGAGTTCTCTCGTGACTCTTCAAACCAGATAGGGTCAAACAGACTCGGTCACATACAACACATTTGAAACCAACATGATCACCCATTTCGTCTTTCGCTTCCTTTACTTACTCGTTCCGGGCATCTCTTTTCAACTTTTCATATTCAACACGTTTTTTTCTCAAATAATTCTTTCCTGTATGAACCTCTCTCTTACACTTTCTCCGATCCAATGCCTTGCTCTCCCAGGTCAGAACATCGATAAAACACTTCCTTAAAGATGTTTTCAAATAATCCTTGTAACTCATTTTCTCTTTCTGAGTCCGCTGCTTATCTCCAACAATTTCGTTGTACAGGAGTTGCTTGGGCAGTCGTTCTTCTCCATTATGTTTAAATGCCTGCTCCATCTTAATCGACGCTGAAAAATGATCGATTCTATGCTTTGACATCGGGCATTCGTAATACCTCAACGTCACTAACGCACATCTGCCAGCGAATATCTAGGATTCTTCTGAGTCATTGTTGGTGGAAGCGTTCAAGATGTTTTATATGTTTTCTGTATGTGGTCCAAGTTTCACAGGCATACAGAAGAGCAGATAGCACACATGCATAATAGACTTTTAACTTTGTCTCTAAAGAGATCCCGCGGCGTCTCCAAAGCCGTTTCGCCAGTTTTCCGAATGCATTACTCGTTTAACTTATTCACAAGTACACATTGTCATCAAGGGTTCCAGTCATGCTTAGTGTGCTGTCCAAGTACACAAACTTCCCGACCAGTTTCAGTCTCTGATCATATACATAGATATTGGGCTCTCAATAGGGCTCCGCAGGTGATGGCTAGTATATAACAACTGACTTCTTCAGACTGTTTGTTAATCCCAACGCTATGCATGATGTTTCAAAAGCACACATCAAGCGCTGCATCTTGGCCTCTGTATGGGCCACAAGATCACAATCATCAGCACAAAGCGGATACCGAACCAGGTTCATCAAGACCTTTGTGCTTGCCTGAGGTTAAATAGCCTTCCGGAAGTCTTATAGAGGGTGTATACACCATCAGAACAATCGTTGAAGGACACATAGCAAAATACAAAGCAAATAATGTTGATGCCGGTATATCCCTTTGTTTCACACCACTTTCCACTGTAATTAGTTCTAGTTTCCCACCAAAATTCACAACAGCATTCATACCCTCATGGGTGAACCTCAGTATAGATACGAATTTGTCAGGACAGCCAAGTTTTTTCAAAATCACTCAAAAAGAGCTGCCTTATTCACAGTATCAAATGCTTTAGTTAGATCAATAAACACTTGATATAAAACCATTCTCTGTTCTACACATTCCTCCTGCAACTGTGTTGCTGTAAAAACCATATCCACTGTTCCACGCCCACTTCTGCACCCCCACCGAGACGCTGGTAGAACCTCGTCAGCAATGTGTTTCAGTATTCTGTCCAACAATTCTATATAAAACTTTCTCGACGACCGACATTAACGCAATGCCACGAAATTTCCCGCAATCATCTTTTCGCCCCTTTCCTTTGTACAACACAACAATTATTGCATCTCGCCAGTGCTGTGGAACAAACTCATCACCCCAGAACATCTGCAGTAAATCAGTGAGATGTTTCATCATATTAGGCTTAGCACACTTAAAAATTGCCGCCTGTCTATTGTTACCAGGTGACTTTCCAGTATTCAGTTTTTCGGCAGCAGCTTCACTTTCCTCAAGAGAGGGAGCATCTGCCAGAACTTCTTTAACTGGTCAACTTGGGATTGACTCGATGAACTCTAGATCAACGTCAGATTGTCTATTCAAAAGCTCATCAAAAGAATATCCAGAGGGCCTCGAAAAAGCTCCTTACCATCCTTTGATGATCCATACACTTCATGCAGGACGTAGTATAGCAATTTCGTGTTATTAGTGTTGGGGACAAGCTGTATTTCGTCAGCCTTATTTCTCCACCAAGAATCCTGCATGTAACGTAATTTTCGCTGCACATCAGCTTTGATCGCTTTGAACTTGGTCATCAATCTTTCATGTTCATGAGATGTTTGTCCAACTTTCAGCACGGCATCTAAGGCTTTCGATTTAGTATCCAGTAAGCGATGAATCTCGGTATCATTCTCATCAAACAAGTATCGATATTTTCGCTCACAATGCACTAATACATTCACACAGGCTTCATAAAGAGACGACTTGAAAGCATCCCATGTATTTTCACAAAGAATGCCTTCCATTGCGGTTATAAGCAGTTCTTTCGCCAATTCAATCTTCAGACGACCTACATTCAACCATTTAGGAATACTGACACCACCAGAACACGTTTTCGGTTTAACCACAAATCGAACTTTTGCTCGAACCAACCGGTGGTCGGTCCAGTATTTGGCACCACGCATAGCGCGGAGGCCACAGATATCCTTCATGTCACGCTTCCTTACCAAGACATAATAATATGCTATTGCTTCGACTAGGATGCATCCAAGTGTTCTTGAAGTGTTTTCGACGGAACATGGTACTACTGATCCGGAAACTTATCTCTGAGCAGAACTGCAGCTGTAGGAAACCATTGCTATAGCACTTTCCTACTCCATGTCATCCATTCACCGTCCAGGTTTCAAAATCTCTCCCTATTCTGGCGTTAAAGTCACGAAGAATGACGACCTTGTCTGCTGAGAGTATTCTTTGAACCAATTCACGTAATGCTAGATAGAAAGCGACCCTGTCACCTTTGCAAGAGTCGGAGCATTCATGACAAAAGTAACACCAGATTCACATCCAACCCGTCTACTACTCCAGAAAAAGTTGTAGTATACTAACCCTCATTAGCAAGTCTTGTCTCAGTGCCACTATGCTCATTTCATATCTTTGAAGCTTCTTCGCTACGTGAGCAGACCTATGCTCAGGACACGAGACAGATGATTGTAAATCCAACAATGTCTTAACATTCTAACAGCCGGTGATCATTGGCTTACATTTTTTCACAGTAGCAAGATGATGACCGGGCCCAAAGTGCGGTACCCTGGGATACCTGCTGGGCTAGACACTTACACAACTAGTCCCAAGGAACTTATTCTAATTGATGCCAATATCATTAGAAACATTCATTGAATGGAGTTTCTTTTTTGGCTACGAGTAGCCTCTTGTGTCAAGACACAGTAAGCTTTTGAAGTCTTCAAGCAATGCATGTGCGTGAATTTTTTTTAAGGGAAGAAAGGATTTGCACGAAATCAATCCCACTCTCTGAGCGACTGCCAC